AGTTGATAAACCACAGTCTTCTGTTTATGGCAGTATCTGATGAAGACCAGTCACTAATATTGCTCCAGTATCTTTAGATGAATGTAGAAGCAACGATGTTATCTTCATGCTCTAAGAACACCTTAGTGAACCAGGGTGGTCATAGGAAGATGACACTTGTTTATACTCACTGTTATTTGGTTATATAAGGAAGAAAGAAGTCGTAGCAGAATTTTATAGGAAAGGTTAATGAGGAAGTGGGGTGAGGTAAGTAGAAAAAAATCTAGTTACTGTGTTGGTATAGGGAGAGGAAGACAAAATGAAAATTCAATGGATACACACTTAAAAAAAAAAAAAAAGCTGGGCACCATTGGCTCACACGTGTAATCCTAGCTACTCAGGAGGCTGAGTTCTGAGGAATGCAGTTCAGAGCCATCCGAGGTAGGAAAGTCCGTGAGACTGTTTTCTCCAATAAACCACCTGAAAACCAGAAGTGGCGCTGTGGCTCAAGTGGTAGAACACTCCCCTTAAGTTGAAGAGCTGAGGGACAGCGCCCAGGCCCAAAGTTCAAGCCCCATGACAAAAAAAAAAAAAAAATGAGAAAAGGAAGGGAGAAGCAGAAATGGAGGCCAGGTGCCAGTGGCTCACGCCTGTAATCCTAGCTACTTAGGAGGCTGAGATCTGAGGATCACAGTTCAAAGCCAGCCTGGCAGGAAAGTCCGAGAGACTCTTATCTCCAATAAAGCACTAGAAAACCAAAAGTGGTACTGTGGCTCAAGCGGTAGAGTGCTCGCCTTGAGCTCAAGAATTGAGGGACAGCGCCCAAGCCCTGAGTTCAAACCCCACAGCCAAAAAAAAAAGTAAATGGAAGGGGTAAATGGACTATAACTAGAAAGTAAAATCTAAAAAGTTTTTGTCCTAGATCAGATAAAAAGAAAAAAATCCATATGATTGAACAGATTTTAAAAATCCTAACAGCCAAATCAAAACAGCAATAAAGACTAAATAAAATAAAGTAGGTCTTGAAGAGTGTGTGTGTGCGCGTGCGTGCGTGTCTCCGTGTGTCCTAGTTGCCTCTAATAGCAACCCCTCCTGAGTGTCCTGAGATATTACTACAGTCGTCCTTCAGTGAACAGTGGCCAACCTGACCAGTGTCTCTGCTGTGACCAAGAAGGGAATCTCAAGCCTTTGTCACCCAGTTGCCAGACTTCCCAAGTCTCTGGTATCTAAGCTGTCAGTGTCTTCACACTTTCCCCCTCCTTAGCCACCTCTTATGACTAACTTATATGCAAATTTGATGGCAGAGTGTCCTGTGAGTGAGTCATTGAGCCATGATTGCACTTTACTCACAGGTCCTCAGGTAATTCAGTCCTGACAACAGACTTATTCTCAAGATGGCAACTGACTCTCTCACACAAGATTAGTGGAGCCACACAATACCTTTCTTCACCAAGACTGACCTCCCACAAATCCCACAGAGCCTTAAAGTTAAGGCTTATGGATATTGAGGGCTAGTTCCATAGCTACAGTTAGTAGTCTCTTGGCAGAATCATCTGTTTTACCTTATATTGCAGTCTTGGCTTTCCCTTCTCCCACTCAGGGAGCCAGAGCCTGGCTTAAACTTCACACTGCATTTCTTCTGCCAAGATAGTTCCTCCATATTTTTCTGCTTCCCTGCCACCTCCTTTGTAGATTCTGGTTCCTTTCTTCTCTTTAGAATCTAATCTTTTCTGTGACACCAAATTCTTCTCATTCATAGAACGAAAGTGACAGACTTCTAATTCACCATCTTGACCCACCTCTAATAACAAAAAATTATTACTGGGCTGATGAATATATAGTTCTATTTTTTAAGAATATATTATATAGGGCCTGGGAATGTGGCTTAGTGGTAGACAGCTTGCCTAGCATGCATGAAGCCCTGGGTTCCATTCCACATAAACAGAAAAAGCTGTGGCTCACATGGTAGAGTGCTAACCTTGAGCAAAAGCAGCTCAGGGACAGTGCCCAGGCTCTGAGTTCAAGCCCCAGGACTGGAAAAAAAAAAAAAAAAGAATATCTTATATTAGCTAGGTGTTGGTAGTGCATGCCTATAATACCAGAACTCAGGAGACCAAGGCAAGCCTGGGATACATAGTTAGAAACAATTAATAGTAAAAATTAAAATTAGAAAAACAATTTTAATTTAAATTTTATTGAAAAGGTGATGTATAGAAGGGTTACAATTACATAAGTCAGGTAATGAACACCTTTCATTTTGAAGTGTTACGCCCTGCTCCATTTTCCCCCACTTTTTCCCCCCTCCCACAATTTTTTTTCATACTGGAAAAAATATGGTGAAATTGTATAAAAGCAAAGGTATTTCTAGATCAGAATTAGTATCTTTGAATACCCCACCATCTCCTGAGACTGTTGGACCAGCATATTAATTATGGCTACATCATTTGATTACCAAAGAAATAAGAAAAAATTCCTAGGCTATATTCTGCATCAGCATACCCTCTGCCAGGTGATGATAACTCGTGAAAGAAGGGCTCTGCACATCCAGCCCCTAGGAGCACTTCCCTTTGAGACAACACCCCTCAAATGATCTGAAAACGAGCCAGGTGTCAGTGGCTCACGCCTATAATCCTAGCTACTCAGGAGGCTGAGATCTGAGGATTAAGGTTCAAAGCCATCCCACGCAGGAAAGTTTGTGAGACTCTTATCTCCAATAAACCACCAGAAAAAAAAAAAAAAACAGAAATGGTGCTGTGGCTTAAGTGGTAAAGTGCTAGCCTTGAGCTGAAGTGCTTTGAGACAGCGCCCAGGTCCAGAGTTCAAGCCCTACAACAAACCAAAAAAAACAAAAAACAGTTCTGCATATCTGACAGTCTGCCTTGAATTCTGCAAGAGTACCTTGGTGGCATCACCCAATGCAAGGACACTACAGGCCAGTGTTGTCACAGGCCTGTAGTGACCTCATGCCTAGTTGTCCCATATTGATGGATGCCTCTGATGAGGACATAGGTTTTCAATTTCAAGGTTTTTTTTTTAAATTTGATTTTGGTTATAGTTACAGTTTAATTGCATTATCACTCTTTGGTCTCAATAAACAGTACTGACAGCAGCCTTTGGATTTCATACAAAATCAAAATGCCAAGTGAAGTTCTATTGGGAAGGTTACTGGGTTACTTTATCACTATAGCCCAGGGGCTGGGATGTAGCTCAGTGGCAAAGCGCTTGCCTAGCAAGCGCAACGTCCTGGGTTCGATCCCCAGTACCAAAAAAGAAAAGACAAAAAAAAAATGCCTTCACTATAGCCCATCACCTAAAAGAGAACACAGCCTCCATTCCTGGAATTTTACCCCATACTGACCAATAAGGATTACAAGCAAATTGGTAGAAATAGTCCCTCATTTAATGCAAAATAACATTTGCTCTTAGCTCCTACAGGCTGGGAGCAGCAGAGCTTTGGCATTGGAGAGGTTGTGGCTCCCAGACTTTGTGTGCCGTGGTTGTGGGACTAAAACTCTGTCAGCTACAGTTTCCTTATCTGGAAAACAGAAGTTGGATGTGAGGACTAAATAAAATAATGCCAGTAAAATTCTTAAGACAGAGCCTAACTTAAAAGAGGTTTTAAAAAGAAGAGGAAAAATCAAATGATTAGCAAATCACAAGCCACTGTTTTGCTTTGTTTGTTTTGGCAGAACTAGAGTTTGAACTCAGGCCCTTATGCTTCCTAGGCAGGGTCTCCACCACTTAAGCCACACACCCTCAGCCCTCTTTACTTTGTCATTTTTTCCCATAGGGTCTCACATTTATGCCTAGGCTGGGCTGGACCAGGATCCTCCTATTTATACTTCCCATATAGCTGGGATTATTGCCCTGTTTTGTGTGTGTGTTCGGCTAGTACTGGGGCTTGAATGCAGGGCCCAGGCATTCTGTTTTTTTGCTCTAGACACAACTTTTTGCTTGAGCCACAGCTTCACTTTTGGCTTTTGGTGGTTAATTGGAGTTAAAAGTCTCACAAACTGTCCTCATCAGGCTGGATTCTCAGATCTCAGACTCCTGAGTAGCAAGGATTACAGGCAGGCTTGAACTACCAGTACCTGGCGACATATGGGGGGTGTTTTTTGGGGGGGTTGTTTTGGGTGGGGGATCTGGTAGTGGGTCTTGAACTCAGGGCTTGGGTACTGTTCCTTAGCTTTTTCCACTCTCGGCTTGCACTCTACCATTTAAGCTTCACTTCTGGCTTTTTTGGGGTTTTGTGGTTAAGTGGTGACAAGAGTCTTTCCTGTGCAGGCTGGCTTCAAACTGGGAGCCTCAGATCCTAGCCTCCTGAATAACTACAATGAGAGATGTGAACTACTGGTGCCTGGCATCTTGAAATTATAAATATTGCTGCTTTGAGGCTTGTGTTATTCAAAGTTAAAAAGTATGAAGCTAGGTGTTATTGTGCATGCCTGTAAGCCCAGTTACTTTGAAGATAGGAGGCTCACTGTTCAAGGCTAGACTCTGTCTCAAAATCAAGATTGACATGTGGTGCGGGCTTATAACACCAACTACTCAGGAGGTAGAGGAAGGCTGTGGTCCAAGGATGGCCTGGGCTAAAGTGGGAGACCCTCTCTGAAAAGCAAATGAAAAACAAATGGACTGGATGTATGGCTTAACTGGTAGAGTGCTTTGCCTAGCAAGTGGGAGGCCCTGAGTTCAATTCCCAGTACTGTTAAAGAAAGGAAGGAAGGAAGGAAAAGAGGGAGGCAGTAGAAGAAGGAAGGAAGGAAGGAAATAAATTAGAGTTTGAAAAATCTTGACTTTTTTTCTTGTGAGATTGAGGGTTTTCATCTTCATTAGTTACTGGCATTTGTAGTAGTGCCAGGTATAGAAAAAGAACTCAGTAAGTTTTGATTGGTGATTGAATACTTAACCAATTTATTATTTCAAACGGGCATTAGAAAACTTTCGTTTCTATGCATAGATAATGCTATTTAGGTTCCTACTGTTTATATATAATTATTTTCTCTTTTCTTCCCCTACAGTTCATCCATGAGCTCAGATTTCCCACATTACAACTTCAGGATGCCTAATATCGGGTTCCAGAATCTGCCTCTCAACATATACATTGTGGTTTTTGGCACTGCTATATTTGTCTTCATCCTTAGTTTACTCTTCTGTTGCTACTTGATTAGGTAATCAATTTGATTATATTAATGTGCTAAATATGCTAAACAAGATGAAGAAAACTTTTTAGGTGTGATAATTGGCAAATCCTCTACATTAATGTGCTTTACAGCTTTCTTCTTGTGTGAGCTAGTAATTCAGCAATTATTTCATGCAGTCTTCAATGCTGACTGATAAGGAGATATTGTACTCTATAGGACAAAATTGTCTCCCTTAATATTCCCACCATATTTGCACCTTGTCCAGATACACTGTCACAGTTTGCAGCATTTAATCTGTTTTCACAGATATTTCAAAGTTGCTCTCTCAGAGAGCATTGATTGCTTCATTGTTTTCTGAAGTCATTAGGAATCAAAAATACCATGTCTGGGGCTGGGGGTTTAGCCCAGCGGAAAGGCGCCCGCCCGGTGCATACAAGGCCCTGGGTTCGGTCCTCAGCCCTGGAAAAAGAAAAGAAAATGAAAAAAAAATGCCATGTCTAAGACAGAATCTGTGGCTTAAAAAAAAAACTTCTTGTGGTCTTTCAAACTCTTCAACTCCCATTGTTGTCTGGCTAGCCGCTCCCCAGCAGTACATGCAGAGGCAAGTGACAAAGGTAACCTCGCTTGCAGTGGTTAGATTTTACCACTGACGTAATTATATCTAAACATTTAAAGTTTTTAAATAGGGCCCAATTGTCAAAGCTCAAAAAAGTTCCTTCAATGAGGTTTTTGGAATAGAAAGCTAAATTATTAACACCTATATATCTAACAGTTCTTAGTGTTCATAAGATATGCGGTTATGGTTAAATCTTGAATGGTTTTGTTTTGTTTTGCTATTGGGCATTGATTGACGTCTCAGGGCTTGTGCTTGTTAGGCAAGGGCTCTCCCACTTGAGCCACGTGCCTAAGCCATGATTGTGGTTAAGATAAACACTACCATCTGGTATCTTTTTTACAATGATTTGTTATTACTGTTAGTATCTGGGACATTCTTACTGACTAGTGGTCAGATCTGAATGAAGTTAGTATATAATTTCTGATACTCTGACAAGTGATTTTACCTTCTTCATAGAGTCTTTCTGAAACTTCTCATAAAAGGTAAGTATACCTTATAACTAGAGATAGGTAGGTAGGTAGATAGATAGATAGATAGATAGATAGATAGATAGATAGATAGATAGATAGATAGATAGATAGATAGATGTTAGCTGCATGTATATTTTTAGATCTTGCTCAGAGCAGTAGTTACAGGTTTGAGATTAATAAAATTATACTCCTCAGAAAAAACTTTGTGAAAATGTGCTTATTTCTAGAAATACTCCTTTTTCAAAAATATCTATAACATGTACAAGACACTATGTTGAAAACGAACTTTATAACTTGTGGCCAGAGAGAGGAGTTGGGGAGGTGAGGCAGGAAGGGAGGGTAGGGGAAAAACAAAGGAGGAGGTAACAATGCCCAATAGGAAATGTACTCATTGCCTTACTCATGTAACTGTAACCCCTCTGTACAGTATTTTTACAATAAAAAAACATAAAAATCTATAACAATAGCTTGATGAACGCTATATAAAATTCAGCAGCTTATACATGTTCAATATCAGTTTTTTTAATTAAAGAAATAAACACAGCCCAAACAGCAGCTCATAGCATCAAAATATCTTTCATTTTCTGAGACTTACTAGATTATTTTGCCAATACCAGTATTTGAACACAAGGCTTCTCACTTGTTCAGCTTGCTTGTGCTCAGCTAGCACACCTCCACTTGAACCAAGCCTCCAGTTTGGCTTTTTTCTGGTTATTTTGGAGATGGAGTCTAGCAAATTTTTCTGCCCAGGCCTCAAACCTCAGTCCTCCAGGTCTAAACTTCCTGAGTACCTAAGATTGCCAGCATAAGCCACCAGTTTCCTCCAGTTTGGGGGAAGATTTCCATGAAAGTCTTATCCAAAGAGTTCCCTCTGGTCATAGGCAGACTCAGAACCATAGGAGGAATACAGCTGAGGTCTAAACAAGACCCCCACCACCAGCCACAGTCATGCACAGCATGAATCCCCATCCACAGAATCCTCAGGTCTGCTAGAGCTATGAACAGGGCACTACTATAACACAAAGAGGGATGTCCTACCTTACACTTCATCAGACATCATGCCACATTCTACTGTATGTTATTCATCTCTCATCCCAGACAGACTTGTTTTATTTGCTGTATCCCAAACACTCAGAACAGTACATAGCAGCACATAGTCACTCAGTTAATGTTTGCTGAGTAATAGAGTGAGTGAGTAGTTTCCATATTAGAAAGACAATCGATGTCCTCACAATGAATGAAAGTATGTGGAATCATATAATGAGAGTAAATTTCTAAATTTTTTTTAAAAAATCAACATTACATACCACCTTAATAGTAGAAAAGAATTGTGCTGGGCACCGGTGGCTTATGCCTATAATCCTAGCTACTCAGGAAGCTGAGATCTGAGGATCATGGTTCAAAGCCAGCCCGGGCAGGAAAGTCCATGAGACTCTTATCTCCAGTTAACCACCAGAAAACCGGAAGTGGAGCTGTGGCTCAAGAGTGCACACATTGAGCTGAAGAGCTTGGACAGCACCCAGGTCTAGTGTTCAAGCCCCGCTACCAACAACAACAAAAATAGTAGAAAAGAAATGCTTTGACAAAGCTTATTGCCTATTCATAGTTTGTTTCATTTTGCCTTTTTTTGAGCCAGGATTTCAAAAAAATACTGAATTCAAACTCATGGTTCTCCTGCCTCACCCTCCTAAGTGCTGGGATTACAGGCATGTACCACTAAGCCTGACTCACATTCTTTTTTAACTTTTGTGTCAGTACTATGGCTTGAACCCAGGGCCTTGCAATCTTGCTCTACTTGGTTGCTCACAGCTGGTGCTCTACTATTTGAGCCATGTCTCCAGCCTGGCTTTTGCTGGTTGTTTTGGAAATGGAGTTTCATGGACTTTTCAACATAGGCTGGCTTTGAATCTCAGTCCTTGGGATCTCATCCACAATAGCTAGGATTACAAGCTTTTTTTTTTTTTTTGGATACAGTCGTGGGGCCTAAACTCTGGGCCTGGGCACTGTCCCTCAGCTCTTCAGCTCAAGGCTAGCGCTCTACCACTTGAGCTACAGTGCCACTTCCGGCTTTTTTCTTTTTGCTAATGTGGTACTGAGGAATCGAACCTAGGGCCTCATGCATGCAAGGCAAGCACTCTACCACTGAGCTACCTTCCCAGCCCCGATTACAAGCTTTATATAGGAAACTTAAGGCCAGCTTAGGCTATATAGCAAAACCCTGTCTCAACACAGAACAGAATAGTATATGTGAACTCCACTACTTTTCATGATTTTTCTGTAAGCATGAAAGTATTTCAAAATAAGGTTTGGGGGAGGATGTTTTGTTTTGCAGGACTGAAAAGGGCCTCCCCTTGCTAGGTAAGCACTCTATCAGTTAAGCCATGTCCCAGTAAAAGTAGGGTTTTTTTTTTAATAGCATAGTATCAATATAGGCCTATTAGTTTATCAGGGCTGTAATAATAAGTACCCCAAACTAGGTGACTTAAAACAACAGGAATTTCATCTCTCAAATTATGGAAGCAGGAAGGTCAGGATCAAAGTGTTGATCCTTCTGAAGGGTCTAGAAGAGCCTTCTTCACCTCTTCTAGCTTCAGGTGATTGCCAGTGATCCTTGTTATCACTTGGCTCACAGCTGCTCATTCATTTTCTGTCTATTTCATCATATATCTCTCTGTCCTATATCTTACTCTCTTCACCTGAGGATACCAGTCACCTTGGATTTAGAATCTAGCCTATCCAGTATGACTTCATTTTCACTCATTGATAATGTTAAATTACCTTATTTTCAAACAAGTTACATTTCAGAATTCTAGTTGGCTTATGCATTTCTTTTTGAAACACTATTCTAACCAGTATGCAAGGACTGGCAAATAAAGCAATGGAACAAAATAGTCTAGGCCACATACTTCGAACATCTAATTTATTTGCAATATGATGGAGAAAGGTGAAGATGGTGGTAAGGCAGGAAGATCTGGATGGGGCAGCATTCAGCATTCAGATGAACCCCACATGGGTATGTGATACATAAAATAACACGTTGCTTTCACAACATACTCACAGAAAATATCTTCATAATCTTGGGCTAGGCAGAGATTTCTTTAACTGCACACAAAACTAACCTAACTGAAGAAGGTTGATAAATTGAACTACATTTAAAGAGTTGTTTTTTAACTGAGTCTACCAAGCAGTGGCAAAGATATAAAACTAAATATTCAAGAAGTAGAAATTGGTATAAACAATTTGGACCAGTTACCTCCTCAACAGAAATGAATCTGTGTGTCCAACAACAAAAAAACATGTAGAGTTTCTGTAGCAGCTTTATTCAACACTAGAATGAATAAATTGTATTATATTCACCAAATGAAATACTATGTCAGTCAAAAAGGCTAAACTGCTGCAACATGGATGAATCTCAAGAAGGATTATAGTCTGAAAGAAGACAACCCAATATACAGACAATGACCCATTTGTGTGATGTCCAGAAATTACTTATTTACAATTTAGAATTATTCTACAGTGCCAGGCACCAATGGCTCATGCTTGTAAGCCTACCTGTCAGGAGGCTGAGATCTGAGGATTGTTGTTTGAAGCCAGCCCAGGCAGAAAAGTCTCTAAGAAACTCATCTCTAATTAACTACTCAAAAACATGAATGAGAGGAAAAGAGCAAACAGCTTACACTAAGCAAAAAGAAATGTACATATCACCCAGTTTGGAAGAAATAGTTGTATTGTCAAAACTTATAGAATTCACAAACTTTATAGACCATGATAATGACAATTTGCCTTGTGAAGATTAAAATGTATTTGTGACTTTAACTAAGTATCACAATCCCATAATACTGTGAAATTTAGGTAAACGCTTAAGTCTCAATTAAAAAACAAACAGGAAGTGTCACTGTGGTTCAAAATGGTAGAACACCAGCCTTGAACAAAAAGAGCTCAGGGACAGTGCCCAGGCCCTGAGTTCAAGCCCCACAACTGACAAAAAAAATTATTCTACAGTGCTAGGAGTCCACATAGGGATACCTCTAGGGGACGGATATTGAATGAGGGGTCAATTCACAGGCTTCAGGGGTGTTGGAAATGTACTATGTTTTGCTACCAGTGATAATTACACTAGAATACACATTTTAAAAATATTTTATCTGTATACTTAAGGGATATTTGTGTGTGTATGTGTGTGTGTGTGTGTGTGTTTTACAGTAGCTGGGTTTGAATTCAGGGCATCCAGCTTGCTTGGCTTAGTTGCTTGGCTGGCACTCTACCACTCGAGCCAGGCATCTAGCCCTGTGTTTTCAGAGATGTAGTTTTGAGAACTTTTCTACCCATGCTGGCTTCAAACCTCTACCATCCCGAGTAGTTGATTACAGGTGTAACTACAAATACCCAGTTTTGTTAACATATTTCTTGCTTTAAGATATTTTTTTCATGAGATTTCCCTTCTATTGGATAACATTCACAGTTCACTGGTACTTTTTCACAGTGAGGTAAGAGAGATGTCACTTGGGAAATCTCAATATCAACATTGTTCCTTTGTCTTTTAGGCTAAGACATCAAGCACACAAAGAATTTTATGCCTACAAACAGGTGAGAAATTTAATTCTGATTGATTCTATGTCCCCCCCTCCCCAAAAAAACTTTGAGGACTGAGATTTCCACTCAAGTTAAACTGGAACTATATTTACTTGTGTTCATTTTAACATTCCACCTGTCAGTTTTGCCGTACAAAATATATCAGCTTCATTCTCTCACATTTTCCTTTCTTTCATTAGTATTATCTAAAGCTACAAAAAGTGATACAATAAATATAAACAGCAAGAGAACTTGAACCAAAAGTATTGCTGTAGTTTGTAACCCATGCAGCTACCATCTAATACTAGAGTTCAGAGACTGCTAAGTGAATTTTTTCCTCCTCCATTAAAGTCATAACTGTTCTCTGGAGGTGGCCAGCTGTGGTGCAGTAATCTCTTCTGCCTTTCATATGTTTTATCCTTTGTACTACACATTTGCTTAAGTCACACACACAAGTCTGCTATCCTGCATCATAGATGTTCAATCATCACCCGCTGCTTGAAAGTAGTTTTTCTTTTTTTGTCAGTCCTGGGGTTTGAACTCTGGGCCTGAGCACTGTCCTCAGCTCTTCAGCTCAAGGGGAGCACTCTACCACTTGAGCTACAGCGCCACTTCCCGTTTTCTGGTGGTTTATTGGAGATAAGAGTTTCACGGACTTTCCTGCCCGGGCTGGCTTTGAACCATGAGATCCTCAGATCTCAGCCTCCTGAGTAGCTAGGATTACACGCGTGAGCTACTGGCTCCCAACTTCGTAGTTTTTCTTGAATGTAGTTTTTCCTTCTATGTGTCATCCATTGACATTTTATCCCTGACGCGAAACAGCAGACCTTGATTTTCCCTAATTTTCATTTTACTCTGAGAAGGACATTTTTGTTGTCCTTAGCTTCCCCCACCCCTACTCAGTCCCCTAGATAGAAAGGGAAGCAGCTTTAGCTTATTTCATCTTTCACTTTGTTGATACAGATATCACAGGACCATTTCATCATTTTATGGTTGTATTTGTTTCTGTTCATCTTTTGGCCATGCATTTTTGGCATATTGTCTAGATGACACACTGGCTTCCTTGAGTATCCCACACTCTGCCCCAAACCTTTCATGGAGACTTTTAGTGCTGGACATTCAAGTGTCCTAAGTGAATGAGTCTTTTTTTTTTTTTTTTTTGTCGGTCATGGGGCTGAACTCTGGGCCTGGGTGCTGTCCCTCAGCTCTTCAGCTCAAGGCGAGCGCTCTACCACTTGAGCTACAGCGCCACTTCCAGTTTTCTAGTGGTTTATTGGAGATAGGAGTCTCATGATCTTTCCTGCCCGGGCTGGCTTTGAACCGCGATTCTCAGATCTCAGCCTCCTGAGTAGCTAGGATTACAGGTGTGAGCCACTGGTGCCTGGCTGAATGAGTCTTTTTATCGTAGTTCTACCATAGTCTTGACAGCCCCCAAGCTGCTTTCATGTAGGCTGACAGGAAGTAAAATTGGCCTTGGTGCTCAGCTTCATTGGTGAAGCTAATAGAACTGAGCAGGTTAAAACAGACTGTAAACTTGAGCTTTATGCACAAGAACTTTTGTACACCCCTATGGAGCTGCATGGTAGCTTCCACTTGATATTTCTCTGACTTGCCTGTTGAATCAAAACCAGTTTTGACTCAAGTGTAAGACATATAAGATTTATAATTCTCACGTTTATTTGCCTATTTTTTTCAACTTTAATATAAAACATAACTCAAGTTTATTCTCAAAAGAAAAGTTAATAGAATTCTGCTTTCTTAGTACTTTGTACAAAACTTAACCTGGTCACCACAGATTCAGGCAAACATAGACAAACCTGAATGAATTTTTAGCCCATGAACATAACTGAGTAGAGTTAAAGTTTACTGAGGACATTGATGTATAATAAGACTTCCAAAATTAAGACTGACTTTACATTTTAACCTTTCATAAGTTACTAATCAGTATCATCACCCAGTAAGGACTTATAAGTCATATGGCAGTCAATCTCCACTAATCTTATCATTTACTCTAGAGGGGCATGTGTTAATATTTTCCCAAGATTTAATCTACTCTCAGATTTTAAACATTTTTGCAGAATATCTGCTTTTACAAATAAAAGATAAATGTTGTTTAAAGTATACTGCCTCACGTTGTATTGAGCATGAAGAAAACTATACATATTTGTGAGGAGAGTGAGAAATGTTTCAGATTTAAATTTTAAAGTTGCAGCTTTAACATGGCATGAGCAGTGTGTGTGTGTGTGTGTATGTGTGTGTGTGTATACACATGCGCTTGTACTAGGCTTGAACTTGGGGCCTTGTGAAACATGATGCTCTTTAGTTTTTTGCTCATGGCTTGTGTCTTCCACTTGAGCCATACCTTCAGTTCTGCATTTTGCTGATTAATTGGAAATGGGGTCTCTCATAGTTTTTTTTTTGGTCAGGGCTGGCTTCAAAAGAGGATCTTCGGATCTCAGCCTCCTAGGATTACAGGCCTGAGACACTAGCGCCCAGCTTAAGAGCATTCTGTTTATCTTACAGGTTATACTAAAAGAGAAAGTAAAAGAACTGAATTTACATGAGGTAAGTTTGTGCCAAGTATTTTCATCTTTTCTTGGGTCATTTTCTAATTGAAAATGCTCTTCTATGGTATGTGTAAATGCCTTTACTTTCAGAAGTTGAAGATAGCCTTATTTTGCTCAGCTTCATAGACTCTTTGTCAGTAAGAGCACATAAAAAGCAGCTGACAACAGCAACATACCTTGTTTTCGGTAGAGCTGATGCCCATGTAGGGTTTCATAGCAGTAGGGATCCTGTCTGCTAATACGCTGTATGACAAGAAGACAGAAATTCATTTTCCTGTTCCAGATGAATTTGAACTAATTGCATCTATGAAACTATTCTCAAAGTTCCCCTCTCATCAGTGGCACACAAAAGGCAGTGATTATTTCATGGGTGGGGGTTGGACAGTAAGGCAGACATGGAACCAGGAAGGACACAAGTAAAGACTGGAACCCGGGCTGGGAAGTTGGCTCAGTGGTAGAGTGCTTGCCTTGCATGCATGAGGCCCTGGGTTTGATTCCTCAGCACCACATAAGCAGAAATTTAAAGCCGGAAGTGGCGCTGTGGCTCAAGTGGTAGAGTGCTAGCCTTGAGTTGAAGAGCTGAGGGACAGCGCCCAGGCCCAGAGTTCAGGCCCCACGACCAGACCAAAAAAAAAAAAAGACTGGAACCCTAGGAAAGGTCCAGCTCTGAAGCCACAGGGTTGTGCAGGGGGCTTAGCTCACTGATGTTACTCTAAGTAAACCTAGGCATGTATCTCCTCTATACTTTAAGATAGATAGTCTGTATGAGTTTTTTAACATTATTTTTGTGTTTCCTCTCACTATAAATGTCCAGAATTTGTTTTGGGTTTGTGCGGGGGGTTGGTTGGTTGGTTTTTGTGCCTGTACAGGAGCTTGAAATCAGGGTCTGGGCACTATCCCTTAACACTTTGGCTCCAGGCTAGCTCTCTTTCACTTTAAGTCACAGCTCCACTTCTAGAGTTGTAGGGGTTTTTTGGTGATTAATTGGATATAAGAATCTCATGGACTCTGCTGCTCTGGCTGACTTTGAGGCCTGACTGCAGCGCTCAAATCTCAGCTTCCTGAGTAGTTAGAATTACAGACATGTGCCACCAATACCCAGCCAGAATTTGTATTTGTTTTTTTTATTTTTATTTTAATTGAGTGAACTTTTAATATGACCAAGACAGATGCTGACAGAAAGAGCCAGAGTTGGAGGCCCAGGAACTATTAATAGCATGTTACTACAAGACAGTCATAACAAAGAGAGGACTGCGCAGGTGTAAGCCAGCCCTGCAGTGAATGCTAGGAGCCAGAGACTGGACTGGGCCTACAGAGCATCCCAGAGGAAGTGAGTTCATGTACATGTGGCAGGGAAAGTCTTGTATTTATTTTTTGTCAGTTGTGGGGCTTGAACTTGGGGCCTGGGCCTTGTCCCTGAGCTCTTTTGCTCAAGGCTAGAACTCTACCACTTCAAGCACAGCACCCCTTCTGGTTTTCTGGTGTTTAATTGGCGAGAAGAGTGTCATGGACTTTCCTTCCTGGGCTGGATTTGAGCTGTGATCTTGAGATCTCAGCTTCCTGAGTAGCTAGGATTACAGGCATGAGCTACCAGCCCCTGGCTGGGAGAAAGTCTTGTGAGTGATCTGGCATACTTTTTGTAGAAAAGGTTCTGCTTGTTTTCCCTTTCCTTCTGCCCACCCCCTTCAAGATGCTCACCAGGAAGAACATGAGTCTCTTTCTTCAGAGTCCTTGTCCTAATCAGCTCCTTCCTTTCACTTAAGTTTTAGGACATTGTAAATCCTTCAGATAGTCAGGCCTTAGGAGCCTGTCCAGTTTGTGACCTGGGCAAATACCTACCAGATGTGTGTTTTCATTTCTAACTCGCCTTTCAGCTCTGTGCGGTGTGTCTGGAAGACTTCAAGCCTCGAGATGAGTTGGGTATCTGTCCATGTAAGCATGCCTTCCACAGAAAGTGAGTATTGGTGTGGGATATTTTAAGGAAGGGCAGTTTTTGAGAGGTCTATGTAAACTTTTTTTTAGGAGGGGTGAAGTGAGTGATGACACTAGGACTTGAGTTAAAGGGCTTGTTCTTGCTAAGCAAGTTCTCTACCACTTGAGCCACACTCTGAGCACTACTAGCCTTGAACTCTTGAATCTTCTGCCTCAGCCTCCCAAGTGCTGGGGTTATAGGCATAAACCACACTTGGCTTGGTGAAGAATTATTCAGTATGATCCGACTTTGAATCACATCAGCCAACTTACTGTGGGCTTTGAGGCAGTGCCCAACAAGCATGACAACTTCACAATTGGCCTGTGATGCCGAAAGCTGATAGCATCCCACGGGGTAAGGGGGGGGGGGGGCTGGACGTGACCTTAGGAGAGCAGACCAGGAAGGCAGAACGTGATACCACACAGACTCAGGCACAGAGCCAGCCAAACCCACACCTCTTTGGAGCCATGCTGTAAACAGTTCTTTAGATGGAACTTTCCAGTGTCAGCTTCCGTCTCCTAAAATGCACTTTAATCAAAACCAGTTATTTTAAATCAAAATAAAGTCAGAATATAAATGGTAGTATGGGGTGCCTCCCTCCCTTCCTGAAGGCATATTAGTATCCTCCTTCTCTTGCAACTTTGTGGATTATATTGGTAATTTTTGTTCTTCCTACTATTCCCCACCCCCACCCCCACCCCACTCTGCTCCTCAGTGTGCTCAGTTCCTCTTTGGAAAGTTGTGGGCTGGCATCTTAGTGTCACCATGTAGAAGACGGGAGCACTGGCTTCCCCCCAGGCTCATGTGCATTCTCCACCTCTGGTGGGCCTCCCTGGGCCGCGCGCGTACCAGACTCCTCCCACTGTGGCCCTGGTGACAGAGCAGTTCACTGTCTGTGGCAACTGGGAGATCAGGGCATGCATGGGGCTGCCACGTGCCTGGAATTGACATCTGCCTCCTGGGCATCTCATTTTCACAGGTGCCTTATTAAGTGGCTGGAGGTTCGGAAAGTGTGCCCCCTGTGCAACATGCCAGTTCTGCAGCTGGCCCAGTTGCACAATAAGCAGGACCGTGGGCCCCCCCAGGGGCCCCTCCCTGGGGCAGAGAACATTGTATAGCTCACTGCAAGGATGAGATGGTTGGATACATCCATGGAGCCAGGAAGAAGGAGCAGGCTCCATCCTCGCTGCTCTCTGCCTCAGGCACCAGCTGCCACTTCCTTTGCCTCGTGAACTCGTGGGCCAGCCAAGCTGGGAATTTTGGCATCTGGGTCTTGTGACAACCAAAGCACTGACACTACCCCCACGCCAAGAGAAGTGGATGAGCCTACAGGTTTGGTTCCAGAAACTTCCATGAGCATCTCTGGCTAACTCCATTACATTCTTATCTCCCAGACACTTACCTCCATTTCAAGGCAAATCATTATCAAACAGAAGGGAAGATAAATACAGGTGTTGGGGCCGGGGGTTGCAGGCAGGTCTTTGCAGCCCAACCCCAGTGGATGGCTAAGCAGCCATGCAGGTCTCCATGCCTTTGTAGCCACAAACCCTCCTGATGGCCTTGAGCCAAGTGAGACCGGCAGTTCCGTCGGCTGAAGCACAGCTGGCTGCCAGTAATTCGTGAGACAGTGCCCACAAGACTTTCCATGTTGTAAGGCCATCTAGGACCCCAAGGGCTCTGGGTACAACAGCAGCAGTGTCCCCACACTACTCCCCACCTCCAGTTTACAACTCGTACTCTCAAGTCATCTAAGCTGAAACATTCAATGCACTTGGAAAGGCTTGGTCAGGAGCCATTTCCTCTTTTATCATTTCCCCCTCCTTTTAAAACACCAGTTAAACCTATTAGGAGCCCCAGGAGGGGCTTGTCCTGAGCCCACACTGGCTGCTGGACTCAGCCTACTCAGCGGGGTGTGGGGAGAGGAGCTGCTATGCACTCCTCCCTCAGCTGGCCCCAAAGAGGTGCATCTTTCTGAGACAGGCTGGTTGAAGAGGATGCTGACCCTTTTGCCTCCCTTTCTTCCTCTCCTCTCAGTCCTAGATGAAAAGAATGCGGACCCCTTTGCCTTTCTTCCTGTTCTTTCCTCTCTTGCCCTTTCCACTTGGGGGGGGGGGGAAGGCCTATCATTAACTTTTAAACAGCTTATCCCAGCTAAGACCCCTATGTACTCTTGAAACCTGAAGCTGGTAATCCGCTAGTTGTAAATAGTTTCAGGAAGCTCCTGCAGGGCTGACCGTCTATTGTGTGTGCCTCAGTACCTGGACGTAAGATAACTAACCAAGTGTCTTTATAGGAGAGAAGTGCATGCTGCTCTTTGGTTCTTTCTGTCCAACTTTTCTAGAAATACTCAAGTCCATTAGAATCTGTGAACACTGTGTGAATTAGCCATGTGAAGCAGCAGTGGGTGAGACAGAACATTCTTCTCCTGGCCTGCTCTCCCCATCCCTCGTCACAAGAGTGCTGCCACACTTCATCAACCACTTTGCTCCACTCCAGCTCCATCCGCAAGTGTGAGTAGAGAAGCACCCTCTGTATGACATGGAGACAGGATGGAAGCGGGTCTTTGCTGCTCTGTTCATAAGATGTCTCCAGAAATCTTTTCTAGAACTCAGACTCTACCATCTTAGAACAAGAGAGAACTTGCCCTTGTCTTGGATATCTGAGGTCAGATGAGGAAAAGTTTCCACTTGCCTAGAAAAGTTCTGGGGAAGCCAGCATGGTGGTACATGCCTATAATCCCAACATTCGGGAGGCTGAGGCAGGAGGATCACAAATTTGAGGCCAGCCTGGGCTGGCAGAAAGGAGCAGAATCCAGTTTGGAAAATTACAAATTCACTTGGTCAGAACTGGCTATTTCCTGTGACATGCCTATCTGTGACATGCCAATTGAACTACTTCCTACAAGGAGCAAGAGAAGTGTGAATGATTTCATATGAACATCTTAGCCTGTCTGGCCCCCACTGGGACTCTAAACACTCGTAAATGCGCGGACTTCCCTCCCTTCTGTGTTCTGTATGTAGCATGATAGAGCTGAATGCTGCAACACCCAGTTTACAGTGAAGTGTTTTGGTGATCAACGTCAGACACAGGCTGGCTTCTGTCCTCATAGCATTAATGGAACACCCACCATTTCCCATGGCATGACCCCTTTTGTTATAGGACTTCCCTAGGAAAGTTTTTTCCCCCTTCAAAGGAGGAATTCTATATGATCTGTACTGCAAATTATTGCCACTCCCAGCTTTTGGAGATCCTGACCTTTCACCTGTAGCCTTTTTCTGTCCCTGTGCTCAATATTAAGATAGCCCCAGCAACACTCTGTTCTTGTTTAAAGGTAAAATCATCTGTCAAAGTTCCAGATAGGTTGAAATGGACAGCATCTACCCTGGATAGTCAGGACCAGTGGAGGAAAGCAGAGGAATTTTCTGCACTCTGTTCTGGGCCTGCCATGCCCAGACAAGGAGCCACTGACCTTGTGTTTTCAGCCCTTGTGAATCAAAGGGCTTCTTAAAAGGTATAACAAGTGCTAGAAGAGTATTCTTTCGGCTGTCTTCTCCAGACTAGGGGTTAAGAGGGGGTCTCCTGCTATAGCAGGCCCAGCACCACTCTGGGTAATTCTGGCAACTCAGCCACAGGACCCAAACATGTTTGCTCCTGACCTCTGGGTTCCCCACCAGAGCTTCCCTGTGCATCTACATTACTGGATGAGTTAAGAGATCCCTTTACACATTCTTGGCTCAGGCCCAACCCACAGGGAGGCTACCCTTTTTGTATCCATCTCCATGAGCTGCTGATCTATTGTCAGTGTGTACCTAGCATGGAGATTCTGGTCAGCTCTTGGATGACTGGTCGGTGAACTTGTGTGTCTTAAGCAGCTCAAAGACTGGTTGCCACTGTGTGCATGAATTAATGGAGCATAACCCAGTACAGCTGGACTCTGTGGTTATAGGTGCCAGGGAAGACAACTAAATTCAGTTTGCTGTAGAAACAGAATGAACCCAAATGACGATTCCTGGTTGGATTAGCATAAAGCAAAAGCTCTGCTGGCTTTCTGTGAGGAGAAAGCAGATTTGGTTAGGCCTCACAAGTAATGTCCTCACAGGTATGCTCACCCAGCCAGGGAACAGGACAAAAAATTGACCCAGTGGGGACAGGTGGTCTCTGAGGAAGGTTCAGATTAAGAAATACAGAGGAAGCTGGGTGTGGGTGGCTAGCGCCTGTAATCCTAGCTACTCAGGAGGCTGAGATTGGAGGATCATGGTTCAAAGTCAGCCCAGGCAGGAAAGGCCGTGAGACTCTTTGCCCCAATAAACCACTCAGAAAACCGGAAGTGGCGCTGTGCTCAAGTGGTAGAGCGCTAGCCTTGAGCTGAAGAGCTGAGGGACAGCGCTCAGGCCGAGTTCAAGCCCCACGACTGATAATTTAAAAAAATAGAGAGAGAGAGAGAGACAGAGAGAGAGAGAGAGAGGAGCCCCCACCACTGCCAAGTAAGTATTCTGTTTGACAAATATCCTTTTTATAGCCCCATTCCAAAACATGCCATCTGCATGGCTTGGTTGCACTCTAAATTTGAATGACTACAGTGAATGTGCAGAGCCTGGAGCTCTAGGCAGAAGTGCACTGAGCAGGTGGATTAGCGCACTCCTTGTGCTTCAGGCAGCCCAGCTCTTCAGAGCCCCAGCCCAGCTCTTCAGAGCCCTTTTTTGTATGTGAAACTAATAAGAAAACTCAGTAAAGCAACACAAAGAGTAGACTGAAAACAGGTCATTGCTAGGATGAGAGTGACAGTAATTTTTACCTGGCACAAGTTTTCACTGAAATATGAGAATCTTTTCTTATCCACCACTTGGGGATTACAGTAACTGTCCTTATCACCTCTTGGGACAATGGTCCAGTCAGGGGCCTGGTAAGCACCAGGCCTAGGGGCTGCAAACACCGTCTGTGTTACATTTTCTGGGTGATTCAGGTCAGAGAATTGAGAGCCTCAGAGCTTGAGGGTTTTTCTGGGGCTTGAATGAACCTGCATCTTCTCCTGTTTCCCTTGGCCCACAGTGCACTAACTTGGCTGCTCAGTGTTCATCATCCTTTGAATTTTAAATAGGTAATCCCTGCACAAGGCTCACAAATCACAAAAAAAACTCAGTCTTCCTTACACTCCTCACTATAGGAGTACCCACTGTTTCTTGTTTAAATTTCCAGGGATTATTTATGTATATTCACACATACACATGTCTGTATGTTTATGTAATCTTTCTCCATTTTACCCACATAAAGCAGCCAGATATATTTGATGAATATTCCCATTTGTGTGGCAAGAGCCATTCAAGTAGTTGTTAAATACCTATAAAAGGTGAGCCCAGAATTATGGGACATTTTAACAATCACATTCCCTTTGACTAAAGCATACCTTGATGGCAATGTATCTGAATTCTACTTCCCTATACACTCAAACACAGTAATCTCTTCCTTATCCCCAAATGCCCGACTGATCCAAGACCACCACCAGTCCTGATGTGCAACATGCCCCTCCTAGCAGGCTCTGTAACAAGACCAACTCCTGTGGGTACCCAGAGAAACTGCTCCATGGGACCAGTGTCCAGTAGGAGTAGCTACAGCTGCTCCAGGCTCCTAGACAGGCACCAGTGGCTTTTGAGGTAATTTGTGCCTCAGCAGCTGAAAGCTTGTCCTATGGCTCAATTGCCCCATCTCCAGACTGAACAGTGAAGCTCTGCCAAAGTATCCACAAGTTCTCTCCTCATACTTATGAACACTTTCAGAAGCAAATGAATTTCCCCCTGGCTCTTTCTTTCCAAGTAACAAAAAACACAATGCACTAGTAACTTTTTACAATTTCACTTTTGCCCTCTAAAGAAATGAATGCTAAAGCTGCTTCTCCAGGCAGTCCTGGGAAAGGCACAGGCCCATGCCTCCCTCTCCCACAGCCAGCCAGTGCCTCTGCCCTCACTTGCCTCCCTGCCACCTAAGCGAACCTCCAAACCTGCAGAATTCTGTGAGCCCCTCCTTCAAGATACTTAGGGAATCCCTGACCTGGATTGGTGTCTTTCCCTAGAATTTCCTAAGTAGATGTAAAGTCAAATATGGTATAAATTCTCACATTCACGAGAGAGAGCTGGAAAATACCAGGTCATGGCTTTTTAGTAAAATCAACAAAGGATGCCATGTGACATGGAACATAGTTCCACGAGTGACAACACAGAGAAAAGCAAAGGTCTGTCCAAAAAAACTTTTTCTCATACTCAACTTTAGAACCCAAATTGTAAGATACAAATTACTTTATTCCACTTTCAGCACTCTTGGCTAACAACCTAGATCCTTGCTCCTATGGCTATAAGCCAGCAAGGACAGGCTTGCTACTTCAGACATGTAGCCCACAGCATGGGCCCAAGCGTCAAGGAGCCTGGCTCCAATGAAACTCCCTGTCCCTTGCCACCATCACAGGCCTGGGTTTCAGGCCTGCTGCGAACTCTGTCCCTCCCTCCACACCCCTCCCTCCCAGGCCCTGCAAGTACTGAAGGGGCAGGGTAGCCAGTGTTATATTAATAAGTCCCTCTGCCAACAGTCTGGTCTTCCAAAAGTACCCCTGGTAACTGGGCCTCTGGACCTCTTGGTCATGGCTGAAGGGGGGAGGGGGGAGAAACATGCAGTTTAGCCCTTTGGGGCTTATTCATTAGATATTGTGTAACGCCTCAAAAAAAGGTTTATGAAATGCTGAGCCTCAGGTTTCATAGACGTGTTTGTACACTAAGAATTCTGCAGCAGAATATTTTTAAACATTCGCAGTTTTTTGTAAGCTATATTTTTGTATATTTAATTGCTATTTTAAGATTTTAATGCATTTTTTGCTAATCACTTGTTTAAAAATAAAACATGCATGTAATTGAACGAATACATGTAAATAAAGATTTTGAAAATATTTCAGACTGAGCACACTTACATACATTGGCACAACACTTGGAATCTCAAAGTGAGAGGTTATGATCAGCTGAAGCTGGTTACCGGGAACAGGTTACTGGCACAGAAATCTCTGGCCTAATCCCTTCCTGTGGTGTGCACACAGGAGAGGAGCCATGGAGGGAGGGAGAAGACAAGAGGCTCAAATGCAATCTACAGAGGTGGCTTGGGTTACACTAGCCACCCTATCAATTCTGAGAGTAACAGGCAGACACAAGTCAACACCAGCCAACACTCAGGGCAACTTTTAGACTGAGCTCCAATGCCTCCACAGCTCAACTGAATACAAGGACTTGCTCTCACACACAAGCCCAGAAGTCTGCCAGAAGAAAAAACATTAGGTCCAAAGTCCTGGGGTAAGGCCATTGCCACTACTCTGGCCCTTTCTTAGGCCATCTGCAGTTCATCTGTGACCTGTGACGTCAGGAAGACTTCCCAATAAGAATGCCCAAGACCTTGAAGCTGTGTCAAAGTCTCCTAACATCTTCATCCAGGTGCCTGCAAAGTCCTCTGCTTCCATCCAGCCATCATAGCTCAACAGCCCACTAAGTAAGCACTGCCTCACCACTCCAACTACCCTTTCCTCACGAGTTCAGGCCACCTTCCTTCTGTAGCCAAAAACCTCTTTGATGCCTCTACTGTGGGGAGGTAAGACCTAAGGCCACAAAGGGGAGGGCAGACTCATAGGGGCAGCTGTTGAGTGGACAGGTGGTGGCAATGGCCACTGGTTTGATTCAGTGTTAACCTCATTGGCCCTGGTTGTCGAGCTGGCAGTAAGCTGGTGTATGGATGTGCACCTCTCTTAAGAAAGCAGTGTCAGGCTAGAAGAGGCCATGCTGGCTACAGTGATACCTTGACAGTCAAGGTAAGCACTGATGACTGGGAAGAAGACACAAAATTGATCTGAGGTCTGGCACCATCTATTGTCAATAGGCTAACAGAAGTGCTCTTCATGTTAAAACTAAGGCCTTGAAACATGTCTCCATTTATAACACAGGACTCACAGGTAACCTGTCATGAACTCTCCCATGTGAGCCAGACATAGTGGCACATATGACTGCATATCCCAGCACTAAAGCAGGTAAAGCAGGAAGACCACAAGTTCAAAGACAGCCTCAACTTATATCAAGACCCATCTCTAAAAACAAAAACCCTTCTCATGTGATATTGGGATGAACACAAGGTAGAACATGAGAAAATGGAGCAAAGCGCTGAGACCAGACAGAACTGGGTCTGAATCCAGCTCTGCCATTCCCAGCTGACCATGGGCAAGTTTGCTCCTCTGTTATATGGGAACAGCAAAGACTTAAGGATGAGCCATATAGAGCACTGGTCCCTATCTTCAGAAAGCATCAAGACAAAAGAGCAGAATGTAGCACAGGTGCCTTGAGGGGCAAGCCCAGACCTGCTGGAGTTCGTGGGAGTCATTTACGGGAGCGGGGAGGGGGTCCTCAGACACGGGCAGAGAACCACCTGGGGAAAATGAAGGAACAGTGCTGTTATTTCATGGCTGTGTGGGTAATGAGGTGTCACTAAGGAGACAAGCCAACTAGAAGAGACAACAGGACAAGAGGATGCAGGAAAATTTCTAAGGCAGCTAAGCAGAAAGTGGCAGCAGCAAGGGAAGAACTGCTGTCCTGCTGCATCACCAGTGTTCTACAAGGTGTGCCGAGGCTCATGTGAAAAGGCAGCCACACTCCTAGCCACATGAAATCAGGAGCAGCTGCAAGCCAGCCACCAGGCTCATCCCATGGCCGAAATCCTACCACCCCAGCCCAACTCTGCTGCCCCCACACAGCCAACACCTAAGCTCTTAACCCATCTTTCCACATCATCAAAAGGCAGAAACAGCTGACATCTCTCAGCTGCAAGGTTTGTTCAGGCCCTCCCTTGCCTTCAGCAGTGAATACTTAATACATAATATTGTACAACCTCTAAAGGGAAGGCTTTTTAAAGTACTTTACACAGGAAAAACGTTCAGCCCCTACACCAAGAATCATCTAAACCAATCAGCCTCTCAAGTAGCCTCCTGAGACTTGGTTCCTGCCTGGAAGACCCCTACCCCTTGCTGGCTCAGTTCTTGTTACTCAGCCGAAGGCAAGACCACTCTTCCCATCCCTGGGAGAGACCGACTCGGCTGGCTCTTTATTCTTGGGTCCTAGGGACTATGCTTTTCACATTCTGATGTTCAGATTTCCAACTGCCATCAGGTGCTTCCTAATCCCCACTACATAAAGGAATTCTTCTGGAAGTCTTGTCTTTCCACACAAGAGCTCCCACAATATAGCAATGTAAAGTAACTGCCCTTCTAAAACCTGCTTGTCAAGTTCCAGGTAGAGAATTAACCAGCCCAGTGAAGCTTGCAAAATCTTAAATCATTTTTCAGTGTTCACACAAAGGGTAAATGCAAACCAGAGTAATGTAGAGAAGATGATATCCAAGCACACACTGATAAAACCTGTGATTAGATTCTAACACACAGCAGCTTGCACCGCACTTAGCAAGTTCAAACAGGACACATACAACAGTCAGCTGAGCACAGGAATGCAGGACAACTCTGGAAAGCATCTCCATTAAGATGTGGAGATTCCAAACCACGCCACAGGTTCAACACTGATGTGCTCAAATGAGCAACCTAAGGACAAATCTTCACATTGCCTGGATATGGTCCATGTTTTTTGCCTTTAATATTTCTTTCTGTACTGGTTGCTTAAATTTTTAAGGATTTATCTTGATGACTTAGAAAAATACACTTGTCATTCCTCACTCTGATTCGGGTAGTACACGATCATAAAACTGAGTCTCTTAAAAAAAACAAGTCCACAGATCCCATTGTGGAAAATTCCAGGAAGCTCTCCCAGGTAACAATCAGGGAATCTTCAACAGTTCAAGGAGTGCTCCAACAGCTCCAAAATAACCCTGAAAAACAATACATCAAAGATAAGAACTCTTTTTTTGGGGGGAGGGGGGGTCCAGTTGTGGGGCCTGAACACTGGGCCTGGGCACTGTCCCTCAGCTCTAGGCTAGCGCTCTACCACTTGAGCCACAGCGCCACTTCCGGCTTTTTTTCTTTTTGCTTATGTGGTGCTGAGGAATCGAACCCAGGGCCTC